ATTTTTCAGTTTTAGAATCTCTACATTTGTTTTCTAAATATATCCTAATTTTCTGTTGCAATTCTCTATTTTATCCATCTTTCCTTTTATTTTTGTTATATTGATAATATTTAAAGTCCTCTCTGTTAAATTCCATCTCTGAATAGTGTTGTGGTTGAGCTACTAATGATTGTTTTTTCCCCATTACTTATTAGCGGTCACATTTTAATGTCATAACTTTTTTACTGCATGCTAGATATCGAATATAAAAGAACTATAGATATGATCATAGACTGAATTCATATGTTAGAGCCCAACAACCAATGTGACTATATTTAGAGACAGGGATTTTAAGGAGGTAATTAAGGTTAAATGAAGTCATAAGGGTAGGACTCTTTACATTAGTAAGACAGTGTTCTCATAAAAATAAGGGATACCAGAGATGTGCATGCACATACAAAAGGTCATTTGAGAAGGTGATCAGAGAGAGGCCTCAGGAGAAATCAAACTTGCCAGCGTCTTGGTCTTGAACTTTCAGACTCCTGAACGATGAGAAAATAAATTTCTGTTGTTTAAGTCACCCATCTGTAGTATATTGTTATGGTAGTCCTAGCAGACCAATACAGAAAATAAAGCTCATTTCTTATGGTGCTTACCCATTCCTCTCTCGATAAAATAAGGTAAATGGCTGGTCATCCTCGATCTAATCAGGAAGAATCAAGTTAGTGTTCTTTAGCCAGAATAAATCTACTTCTGGTTGTAAAGATCTCAAAGGCAAGACTGTGGGGTTGCTTGTTGCAGGTTTCTTCCTCAAATCAGTTTGTCTCCTAAGTACCAGGAGATTGCAGGATATTTCACTCAGGCTTTCTGGTCCAGTCCCATCTGCAAGTGCAGCCCTTTTGGGCTTTTGATGGAAAGTCTGGCAAGTCTGTTCTCTGCTCTTAATGTTCTCTCCTTTAGTGGTTTTAAGCTAAACTCTTTATCCTCCTTTGTCATACAGGTTCAAAATCTGGCAAATGCCTTGCGAAGCAGGCCTCTCTCACTAGGTCAACTTAACTCCTAAGCACTGTACCGCTGTGGGAATTTCATTCTGCCTTTCCAGTCCAGCCACTTAGCAACCTGTGTGATACCAGCACTTAGCAAATGTCCTATTGGGAAGACTGGCCAGGTGTTTGGGGTCTCTCTAGATTCCATAATCCTATTAATCAACATGGCCATTAAAAATTAATTTCTTTGACCCTAGTCTGTCTAGGATGCCCAGACTGCAGCCTATACATAGAGTCCCCTCAGAAAGAAAATGGCCAGCATCTTATGCTCAGCTAGGAAGAGCTCTTCCCTCTTTAGAACTTAGTTCTTCTAGCATACTTTGTCACCAAAGCACACTGACATCTTTTAAAATATGGCTTCTGTAATCGATTTTTGTGGTTATGGCAGTGGGAGCGAGCTATTGCATTCTAAGTGGAATCTGAAGTCTAAAGTTACTTTTTAATAGAAATTTCATTGTTTTTAGTTTTTTTTTTTTTTTAATTTTTTTTTAATTTTTTTTTATAGAGGCATGCTTTATTTATTTGTTTGCTGGTTTGTTTATTTGTTTTGTTTATACATGCACTGGGTACAGTCAGAAGCGCGGGAGGGCGAGAGAATTCACCAGAGCCAGAGCGGGGAGCAGAGCAGGCAGAAGGACCGAAGTACACTGCTGAGGGGAGCAGCGGGCGGCAGGAGAGGTCTGCGCGCCATGTGGGACCCTCCTCTGGTGGCCGGGGAGCAGCCGGGGATCGAACCGGCGCCACAGAGGCCGCGCGCAGCTTCGCAACCCAGCGCTCAACCGCTGCGCCACCGGGGAGGCCGTTTTTAGTTTTTTAATAGAAATTTCATATTTCTTTTTTTCTCAAAATAGTCCCACTTTTTCTACTTCCCCAAAGTTCAGCCTAATATAGTAGTATGAAAATTTTATAATTTACCAACAAAAATATAAACACAAATTAAAATTTTTTGAAGATTTATTTATTTATTTATTTATTTATTTATTTATTTATTTATTTATGCAAGGACTGGGGTGTAGGTCAGAGGTGCAGGGGGTGAGAGGATTCACCAGAGACACAGTGGGGAGCAGAATAGGCGGATCTACTGACATACAAAGCTGAGGGGAGTAGCAGGTGAGACAGGAGAGGTCTGCTGTGCCAGGTGGGTTAGCTCCCTGGCTAGGGATCTAACTCACGCCACAGTGGCTGGCAATAAGACTTGATGGCACTAAGACTTTTGCCCCTGTGCCACTAGGGAGGCCCCTAAAATAAGACTTCAAGTATTATATTGTTGTCTTAGATTCAAGTTACCATTACAATTATTACTATAATACTATTGATCAAAACAAATATAATTTTAATGTTTTTTTCTTTTTTAAGATTTTTATTTATTTTTGCATAGATGAACTGGGATATAGGCCAGAGATGCAGGGGGTGAGAGGATTCACCAGAGACAGAGTGGGGAACAGAACAGGTGAATCCACTGAAATACACTGCTAAGTGGAGCAGTGGGCAAGACAGGGGGTGTCTGTTGAACTATATGTGGGTTAGCTCCCTGGCTGCGGATTGAACTCAGGCCATGGCAGTGATAGCGCTGAGACTAACCCCTAGGCCACCAGGAATTCCGGCCCACTTTTAATTATTATAAAAACCTATTCCATACAAAGAGAAGTAATTTATTCTAAGTGCCTAGGATGAAGGAGAAGATAGGGGTTTGTTGGGTTATAGCCCTAAAGGATGCTTCAGATTTTTATATCTCAGGGCAATACAACCATGCTAAGGTTCAAATGGTCAGAAATTTGTGGGCTATCTTTGGTTTTCTTTTCTTTTTTTTTTTGTGAAGTGGAAAAAGGGGGGGTGAGTGAGAAAGGAGAAATGGGTACTATCTTATGAATATTTATTTTATGAAAGATCACATGGGGAATTTGAAAATCTAGAAATGTATTTCTTTAAACCATCTGTGCCTATATTACCCTTGGAAATCTGAGTGCCTACTTCCATGTTTTAGTACTGCAATCCTAAATGAGCTATCAGTTCCTGCCAACCCATACATTACATAACTGCCTACTTACAAAGCCAGTCTGACAATAACCCATACCTTAATACAGAAATTAGCAGAGAGAAAGAAAAAAATACAATGCTATTGCTAATTCTTTCCCTGTCTCTTTTTATGCAAACATGAAATAGATTCCTGAGTAAAATAGTCTTGGGGGGAATGAAAATGATGCACTTTCCTATTTCAAAAGTTACATTTAATAATTTTAAAATTTTCAACATCAAGCAGAAGTTACAAATAAGTGCAAAGATTATTCTCAGCTAATCACTCTAGGGTTTATGGTGTTGGGAGACTTAATACAGAATGACCTCTGGTGCTAGATTATCACTTTTTGTTCAGACACACTACTGTTCTCTCGTCTGGTGTGTTCACAGGTAAGCTGCTTCACTCTAGCCTTCCAAACTCCAGAAGGGGAAAATGGCCTTTAGCAACTTCCTTAGTAACCAGACCATAGCAATAAGCTACATACACCAAAAGTGGGCTTGATAAGTTTTGTTTTGTTTAAGATTTATTTTTTATTCATACAATAGCTGGGGTACAGGCCAGAGGTGCAGGAAGGTGAGAGGATTCACCAGAGACACAGCGGGAAGAAGAACAGGCAGATGGATGGAAAGCACTGCTGAGGGGAGCAATGGGCCGGATAGGAGAGGTCTACTGTGTCATGTGGGAATCTCCCTGGCTGGCCAGGAATCGAGCGTTGCAGAGGCTACAAACAGCTTCACAGTGCTGGGCTCAACCTGCTGCACCACTGGGGAGGCCCTTGGTAAGTTTTGAAAGGCACATGTTTGGTAACAATATTGCTAAGTCAGCAACAGGCAAGCCAACAATTTCCCTAAACTTTAAGCACTAGACACACTTTGTATCAGTTCTCAGCATAGTTCACTATTACTTTCCTCATGGTCATGTTCCAGTTTGATGCTAGATATCAACTGGAACAGATCACTGTATTATGCGGTCCTTATAATAAAAAAAAAACTTTTTTAAAATCAATAGATAGTAGACAATGTAACACTCAACTAAGCATGTGAAGATATTATAAAAAATGAAGAATGATCTACGTTGTTTGAAATCTCAAATTTGAGGAAAGCTGCAGTCTTTTTTTCACAGTAAATCTAGAGCAAATGCAAAACATTTCTTCCCAATTCCTCTGATGTCTGTGTTGGGCTAAATCACCAGGAGTCCACTAAGTAGTCAACAAAGTTAGTCTCCCTTTAGTTAACACCATTAGGGAGGCCAAATAAAAGAAGGCTTAACAACCGTTTGTAGAGTAATAAGCAGGAATGTGGAGATGCATAATAAAGGAAAAGCATATAAAAGCAAGACAGAAATAGTCCAGGTGTGAAATAAAGAAAAAAGGACATAAAAGAGATCTACGAAGTCTAAAGATCTATGAAGTCTAAAATTTTTTTTGAAGAAAAAAAATCTAAGCATCATTGTGTTATATAAGGCTAGGTATGAAGGCTATAATTAAATCTGGATTCTAATTTTTATTTTAAAATTTCCTTTAGGGCCTCCCCCGTGGCGCTGCGGTTGAGCGCTGGGTTGCAAGGCTGCCCGCAGTCTCTGCAGCACCGGTTCGATCCCTGGCTGCCAGGCGAGGGTCCCACATGGCGCACATACCTCTCTTGCTGCCCGCTGCTCCCCTCAGCGGTGTACCTCGGCCCTTCTGACTGTTCTGCTCCCTGCTCTGGTGAATTCTCTCACCCTCCCGTGCTTCTGACTGTACCTAGTGCTCATATAAATAAATAAATAAAGTTTCCTTTAGTTACTTTCCCAATAAACTTATTATTATGTTAACAGAGAAATATCTTCCTCTGTTGCTACATGTTCTTTCAGGGTACGGCATGAAAAAGGTAAACAGAGTCAACATAGCAGCAGGTTTATATTAGGGATATATATATAGATATATATGTAGACACACACACATACACACACACTCTCACCTGCTTCGGGATCTGCAGGTATTCTCCACATGTACAGGTTGAAGTCATCAGAGCCTGAAAGGATATACTGTTGAGACAAAAACACATAAGTGTATTATTTATATATTGATTGATAGTATCTTTATAGGGAAAGATTTTTCAAAAATAAGATAGACATATATTCATAAGGCACCACACAGAAAATACCCTTTTACAAGTATTTGTAAATCAAAAGGCTCATTGGTTAAAACTCAGCAACAAAACAATCCAATTCAAAGAATATATACAAGTGGCCAATAAGCATACAAAAATATGCTTAGGAAAATGAAAATCAAAACCATAGGACCACCACTTCACAGAATTAGGCTGGCTACTACCAAACAAACAATCCAGAAAGCAATGTGGAAAAACTGGAACCCTTGTGCAATGTTAGTGGGAATGTATAATAGTGCAGCCACTGTGGAACACAGGAGGAAAAGTTCCTCAAAAAGTTAAACTCTGAACTACCATGTAACCCAGCATTTCAGTCCCAGGTATATATTAAAGATATTTGTACATTAATGTTCATGGAAGAATGCTCACAGTAGCCAAAAAGTAAAAGTAATCAAAACATCCATTAACAAGGCCTCCCTGGTGGCGCAAGGGTTAAGACGTAACCTATGAAGCTATCTACAGCCGGGAGCAACCCACATGGCACAGCAGACCTCTCCTGACTCACCTACTGCTCCCCTCAGCAGTGTACTTCGGTCAATCTGCCTTTTCTGTTCCCCACTCTGCCTCTGGTGAATCCCCTCACCCCCCCACCTCTGGCATGTACCCCAGCTCTTGTATGCATAAATAAATCTTTGAAAAAAAGTCCCTTTAAAAAAAAAATGCATTAACAGATGGATACACAAACAAGGTAATACATACAATGGAATATTATTTGGCCTAAAAAGGAAAGAAACTCCGAGACATGCTACAACATGGGTAAACCTCGAAGGCATTGTGCTAAGTGAAATAAGCCAGATACAAAAGGACAAATGTTGTATGATTGATTCAACTTATACGAGGTTCGCAGAGGAGTTAAATTCATAGAGACAGACAACAGAATGTTACTTGTGCAAGACTGGAGTGGGTGAAGGGAGAAACTACAGTTTAATGGGTAAAGAGTTTCAATTTGGGAAAATGAGAAAGTTCAGGAGATGAACAGTGGTGATGACTGCATAACAATTTGAGTGTGAATGTACTTAATGCTATAGAATTGTACACTTAAAATGGTTAAAATGGTAACTTTGAGGTTATGTATATTTACTATAATTTTTCAAAAAGAATTTTTAGGGGCCTCTGTGGTGGCGCAAAAAGGTTAAGACGATCATGCTCAGCGAAATAAGCCAGAAAGAAAAAGAAAACTACCGGATGGTCTCACTCACAGCAGGAATCTAGAAAACTTAAATAAGGGACCAGGAAAATGAATAACTATAAGAAAATGAAAATCAAAATCAACAAAAAACTATGAACCAGAGACACTCTATGGAGGGTGGGGAGGTGGGGAGGGGAGGAATTGGGGTCAAAATAAGGGTGCTGCAATTGTATGGGGAATATAAAAATAAAAATAAAATTTATTTAAAAAACAAAAAACAAAAAACAAAAAAAAAAAAAAGGTTAAGACGCAACCTATGAGGCTGTCCGTGGCCACTGCAGCACAAGTTTAATCCCTGACCAGGGAGCATCCCACATGGCACAGTAGACCTCTCCTGACTGGCCCGCTGCTCCCCTCAGCAGTGTATTTTAGTTGATCTGCCTGTTCTGTTCCCCACTCTTTCTCTGGTGAAACTTCTCACCACCCCTCCACCTCTGGCCTGTACTCCAGTTCTTATATGCATAAATAAAGAAATCTTAAAAAAAAAAAAAAAAAAAAAAAAAGAATTTTTAATGCAAAAAAAAAAAGGAACTTCCCAAAGATTTTTTATGCAAGGCCAAGTATCCTGAACTTTCCTGCTATCAACTGACATCTTTGAGCAGGAAATCACTGTCGATCCTATCACATGTTAGTGCCAGGGGTATAAGCAATCCCCCTTCATGTGGCTGCTTCAAACTGCTTGATCTAAAAAAAAAAAAGAGATTAAGCGAGATCTATTCTAATTAGGACTCACAAAAGCATTGTCAAACATTGTCGATCACCAGCAAATGAGTGACTCTGAGAGCTCATTTATGTCCAAAGATTAACAGAATTACATGAGGATAGTAATACTTCCTGCCTCATACCCCATCTACCTATTTCCTTTGAAAAAGAAGTGCATAGTTTTCTTAAGAAAACTTCTTTCTTAAAAATGACACCAATTTCAAAAAGTGTAGTCTAACATACACACAATCTTGTGGTTAATGTAATACTTCACTAATTACTTTGCAATCATTAAAAATCAATTTACCAGACTCAAACACTTGAAACCTTGTAGGAACAAAAGAAAGAAGGCAAAGAAGAGCACGTTTAAAGATTATGAAAACACTATTATGAAAACACAGATGATTTGGTTTAGGGCATAGTGGAAGTATGTGATATTTGGAGAAATGTCTTTTCAAGTCCTGTGCCTTTTTAAAATCTAGTTGTTTGGTTGTTTTTTTTTTATGTTGTAGAGGAAACTTTTTTAAATTGCGGTGTACAGGATTAGTCTTTAGGATTTCCTTTCCAGGAGCATGTTTATGTGTAGTCACTTGTCAAGTAGCAATGACTTGGCAACTTAAGAACTTTAAGCTTTGATTTGGCTTCCACCATCCTTTCACAGAGATATCACAGACTCTTATAACTAAATGAGCCTCGGAGAGTGTGTTGGTCCTTTCTGGCTGCTATATCAAAATATAAGTACCAGGCACTTTGGTACTTAAAAAGATATACAGGTAAATCCTGGGCTCCCAAGGGGCTTAAATCAAGTAGAAAATATTCATTTGAGTATGTGACTACCATGCCATGAAGTAGAAAGCACTCCATGCTATTATGAGAAGTAAGATGCCTGGTGATTTGCAATGAGGCAAGACAAGCGTCAAGCCAGCTTTAGGTAAAGAGGTGGTGAAAAAGGTGAAAGGAAAGAGAAAAAAAAAAAAAGCTATGGTGTGCAGTCTACTGTTTTAACAGGGACATGGAGTAGCTCAGTCCTCGACACCCTGTTCCTATTCTTCAGGTCTTACTTCTTGATCTCCAATTGCCACAGCCATATATCTCTTCTGAGGCTTTCTTCAAAGCCTAGGAGGCTGCAGGTTCAAACGACTCAAGAGAATTGGTGTATTAATATCACAGCTTCCAGTCCCCAGATCTGAAGAGTATTCTATACTCTTCCCCTCAGATCCAAGTTCCAAGTGTCCATAGCTGTATTTGGCTCATTAAATCATCCTTCATCTCCCTAACTCATTTTTTATTCCTTTACTGTTTCCTGCATTTCCAAATAAACTACTTACACCTGAAAGTGAAACCCAAATTAAGACATACAGAGGGGGTAAGGAACAAGAAACATAAAAAAGTGTTCACTAGCAATTTATATATATATATATATATATATATATATATATAAGATATATATATGATATATAAATGATATATAACTTACTTTTTAGCCAACATCTCATCATTTCAGGTTGTGTTTAAAAGAGCTTATAAAACATTATATAGAATTCTTGCTATCCTTTCCCCTTCATATCTTCCACAAACTAACAAAAAAATACTAAAGAAGAGTGAACCAAGGCTGGGTTCATCATAAATTTACTATTTCATTGTGAAGGATTAGTATTCTTTTTTTTTTTTTTAAAGATTTACTTATTTATTTATATATACAAGCACTGGGTACAGTCAGAAGCACGGGAGGGTGAGAGAATTCACCAGAGTCAGAGTGGAGAGCAGAGCAGGCAGACTGACAAAATACACTGCTGAGGGGAGCAGCGGGTTGCAGGAGAGGTCTGCGCGCCATGTGGGACCCTCGCCCGGCGGCTGGGGATCGAACCAACGCTGCAGAGGCTGCGGGCAGCTTCGCAACCCAGCGCTCAACCGCTGTGCCACCGGGAAGGCCCAGGATTAGTATTCTTTTATTTGTTCAGCTATTCACCAGGGAAAGCCAAGAAAAGGTAAAAGAGGACTCCCAGAGAGAATGATTTAGATAACTCCCACAGAGTTCAGGCCTTTTGGATTTAGTGTGACAGTTCCTAAAATATGTAGAAAATGTGTACAATGTACAGACTTCCATTAAGGGATGAAGGCAACGCCTGGTCCTCTCTTCCTTTTGGAACTGCCTCAGGGAATGCTTCCAAAGAGGGGGTCTTGACCTGCTGCTGTCTAGTAAAGCCATTTAAGAGTTCACACGCACTGGAATCGCAAAACTTCCTTGAGGAATTCATTTATGGCATTTCATGGTTGTCTACTGGGCTGCTTCCAACATTAAAAGTTGGCTGCCTAGGATAGTGCTGACTGTGGGAGACTGAAATAAAACTGAATTCATCCCTTTATTCATTAAGCAAATATTTATTGAATGTCTACTATGTGCGGGGCACAGTTCCAGGGAAAGGACACAGAATTGATCAAAAAAGTCCCTGTCCCTGCCCTCACGAAGCTTAAATTTTACTGGGTGGGGAGAAGAAAAGCATATGCATATATGAGACTGGATGGAGGGAAAAAGAGGTTAAAAGATTATGTAGATGTAATGTGTCCAGCAGGTTAGCACATCTAGAAAGTGCTGGGGGTGTTTAGTTTCCATTTCATATACAGAGGTCACAGAAAGCTTCTCTGATAAAATGGCATTTTGAGCAGGTCCTGGAGAAATTGAGGCAGTAAGTTATATGGATATCTGTGAGAAGAACCTTCCAGGATAAGAGACAAGAGTTCTTGGGTTATTTTAAAATATATGGTAGCCAAAAGAGCTCTTTTGCCTTTCTTTAAAAAAAAAATTACAGAAATAAAGATAATTTCAAGTAGGCTAAGTGCAGAGATATAATTAACATCATCACACCAGTTGGAAGGATTCCTTTCTTCCAAAGCTGTGTTGTAAGGGTTCATTTCCCAAACTCAGGTTGTAGCCTGCTAGTGGATTATCTTCATTGGCAAGCTCACGAATATTTAACCAATTG